ATCCGGGTGTTGAATTCTATTGACTGACCAATTATCCGGATGTTGAGTTTTATTGATTGACTAATTGCTCAAACACCTGGATAATCAACAGATACAACCACTAATTATAATGATATCAGGAAAAGGAGGAAACAAATTTGAAGTGACAAAGATTGGATACTTTATACATAACTATTAATATACACAATGATGTGTATGTGTATATTGATTAATTAAATAAAAAATAGTGGTGATAGATCCTCTCTACATTTGTTTCTAGTTGTATATATGATTTATTATTATTGTTAGTTATTTTTCTTCTTCTAAATTGTCTTCTGGTAATTAAAATATGGTAGACACTGTGAATCTTTTGATAAAAAAAATTTTTTTTCAACACATATATAATAATTTAACTTCATAAATATATTTTCTTTAGATAATAAATTTTGGATTCATTGCTAGTATTATTTTTGAAATTTGGTTTATTTGATTCTAAAAATAATAACCATATGTATAAGACACCCTGGATGTCACTGAAATTGTCCATTGCACACCCAATATCAATGTTATCAGGCAATCACTATTAAGCTATTCTTTCAAACATCACTATCTATTAAGATTAATTATATGATTTAATTATATCCTATAGAAATGTTATATAAATAGTATATCAATCATATTGACATCATTTTGTACCTAAAATAACAAAGCAACCAAAAATAGCTTAATAGGTGCTGTTTGCCTGATAAAAATAATTATGAATCAATTTCTTGTAATAAAAGTCAAAGTTTTTCCAATACAACCTTCTGAGTGATTATAAATGACTTTGTAAGGAACACTTTGACACAACCATTACTGATGAGTTTGCTTTCTTCTGCGCATTAGTTGGAAGAAAATCTTAAAGTAAATGTGAAAAAAAGTAACCCTTGCAGGCTGGCGTTAATAGTCGTTAGGAAGCCCTAGTCTGGCTCTAAAAAGTCACTTGTTAAAAGAAAAACAACGAATTTTGAAGTGGACGAAAAAAAGTTCATTCGTGTAATGGTTATAATGATCTGCAATGTCTTAGTTTTTTGGAAGTTGTAATTGAGCAAAAGTACAGTATTACAAATAAATAGAAATTTAGTTGAGCTTTTTATACAATTAACATTTTCATGTAAAATCTCGCATAGCTCTATACTACTACCTATACACTATCTTTTGTGCAAGTTTGGTATATATATTTTTGAAATGATATATTTAAGCAACATGCCGATCACAAAAAATCAATTAAAATGTCGCACGCCCCATTAACGTGGTTATAGGTCAAAATCGAAAATTCAAACTAAACACTAGATAACATTTACCATCGGTAATAACAATTAGCAAAGGCCTTCGTAAAAATAAAATAAAATTTTTAACTCATAAACCAAACTTTATTGACTATTTATGATTTAGATTAGAAAAAACTTTAAAATTTTTTATTTTATTTGATATATAATATAATGAATAAATAGAATGAATGAAAAAATGAATGAAAATATATATATATTGTATATATATGCGCTATATGTTATTGTAAAATAAAGAAAAAAAAAATACAAAATAAAAAAAAATAAAAATAAAAATTTGTACAATTCAAGAAATAATAATATTTATTTATTTATATTTGCTATAATCTTTATAATCTTTATAATTTATTACATAAACTTGTTAAGACGTTATGATTAACTATTTAGAACTTTTTCCTATTTATAATAATAATATGTTAATTTTTAACATTTTGCCACTATTATTATTTTTATCATCATCATCATCATCATCATCATCATCATCCATAACTATTATTTTTATTTTATTTTTGAAAAATAGTTAACTTTATCCCAAAGACTCCGATCATATGCAGCCAAGAAATTGGAAGAAATTGGAATGTCAATCGGAGGAAGTAATTCTGTGTATGACGATAATGTTGTCGACGTTTGTGATGGTAATTGGAATTGTGGCTGTATTTGAGATTGAGATTGGTGTTCTATTTCCATATTAGTTGATGGTATTATTGTATTCGATTGATTATAATTTAGCCAACGCCATTCTTTAATTGAAGAAGAAGAAATCGTGTGATAATTAGAAGAATTATTATTAATATTGTTATTATTGTTATAATTATTAATAGATGGTGACGATGAATATGAATTTGAAGAAAATGGTGTTGAGGGAAATGATGATGTTGTATTTGATGACGATGATGATGATGACGATGACGATGATAATGATGATGATGATGATGATGATGATAATTTAAAATCTTCGTTTACTACATCCAAATTCATGTTATTAATATGAATTAAATTTGGAGATAATAAAGAAGGGGAAGAAGAAGAGGAGGATAAATGAGGTGAATTAATAATATTACTGTCATTACCATTATTTTCACCAATATTATTGTCATCATTAATAGGACTAGTATTAATAGGATTATTGATAGATTTATTTTCTGAGGGAGGAGAAGATGAAGAAGGAGGAGGAGAAGGTGGCGATGATGATGATAATTTAACTTTATCTTTAGATTTTTCAGTTTTTTGTTTACAAGTTTCCACACTAACTTCACGAAATATATTATTATTCCCTTTTTTTGAAGATTTATGTTTGGGTTGATATACGTATTGAGGATATGTGCAATCGTGAACCTTCTTTGCACAATCAGCAATAAGTTCATAAAGTTGTTTTATCTCATTAGATTCTTCAGCCCAATTTTTTGCAGCCATATTTGAAATCAATTTGAAATTTTTTGCAACAGCATGACCTCTTTCTTTTGTTATAACAGCATGGAAGTTTCTTCTATACAAAACAAAGTTATTCTGTGGTCTTGGTATACAACGTCTACGTCGATTTTCACGTGGAGAGATTAATTGTTTCAATGGTACGGCAATTTGATTTTCTATCTTTTTTAAAGTCATTGGATCTATATTGGTTTGTATAATATGATCAACAATTTCATTTGGAGACATTTTTTCAACATGTTGACTAAATTCTGGTGGAGGATAAGGAGCAAGAGTTCTATCTTGTCTTGTTTCAAAACAATAAAAAGACATATTTATGATAGTGATGACGGTGTTGTTGTTATTATTGTTGGTAAAAAATTATCTGATTAATTAGTAATACTAACGAAAAAATAAACGAAGATTGAATGGAATGATATAAAGATGGATATTGTTTGTTTCAATTATTATTAAATTTTGTTTGGCAATAAGAAAAAATTTTTGTTGAATATTTATTTATATTATAATTTTTTTTGTTCTAATATTAATTTTAATTGTAGTGTATATTTGTTTTTTAATATTTTAATATTAAAAATTTTTTTTATGAATTTGGGTTTTTTTTGAAGGAAAAAAGAGAGAGAGAAGAGAGAGAAAGAAATTACTAAAAATAATTGGGTTGTAGGTTCTTTATATGTGTATGGAAAATTTTTTTTTCTTTATAAATAAATATAAATATTATAATGAAGAATGCATTCTTTGCTTAAAAAGGTAATTTAAAAAATGATATAGTAGATCTTTATTTTAAACAATTATGGTTTATATAATAAATATATATATATATGTAATAAATGTATAATTTGCTTATCTTTTTATCAGGTTATGAATTTCCTAAATTACGATTTTGTTGAACTCTTATGGATGATGGAAGGGATATGGAAGGAAGAGGAAGAGAAGAGTAAGAGGAGGGAAGGGGTAGGGGTAGGGGAAGAAGAAGAAGAGTAAGAGCAAGAGGAGGAAGAAGGGGAGGAGGAAGAACGAGATTGTATACACATAGGCAAGTTGCCATATATTATTTTCAATAATACCATTGTCTTTATTAGAGGTTTAACTTAAGATTAAAAAATAATAATAAAAGTCTATATAAATTACATTTTTAGATTTGTTTTAGTTTCACAAAATTAAATTTTGTTATTTTCACTTTCATTTAAATTTACCTAAAATTTTGTTCTTTTTCATTTTCCTTCTTTTTTTTTTTGAAAAAAAATAAAATAATTAATTAATTAGGGTAATTATCATCATTGCATCGCTATTTTGTGATTATCGCTATTTGTTATTATCACTATTTATTATTATCATTACCACCATCATTTATTTAAATTTACCCATTCAGAATGTAAATGGAAAAAATAAAATAAGAAGCCATTCATTAACCAAAAAGGAAACTTTTTTTTAATAAAAATAAATTTGTGTTTAATTGCAATGTAATTGTTCGGAAATTCGGATTCATTTTCAAAACAATAAACATTTATTTTATAATGGAAAAATATTTATTTGACTATTTGATTATAAACTTAATTTGGTTAATTTTTTTCTTTTTTTAATTTTGAAAACTGTAATTTCATTGGACAACTAAATATACTTAAGTAATTGTGATTGGGGTTTGATACTTGTGTACCTTGTATAGAAATTCCGGTAACTGTATTCTTTATTTGGGAATAATAGACTAAAATAAACATAACAAGAAACAATCAAGATGTTATTCGTCGATCATTCTATATACAATCTCTTCTTCTCTTTATTGTTATTTATGGTAATTTAGAATAATCACCAAGAAATTCGAGAAGTTCAAATGAATTTACAATGAAATTTATTTTTAGATTTTTTTTATTTACCTAGAAAATCTACCGCAATAAAAAATAATAAATAATAATAAAAATTAAAAACCGTTTTTACTAAATTCTATTATTATTATTATTATTATAGGGATTTTCAAGTTTTGTTTCTTGTTTGTTTTAGAAATTTATTTTTCTAATTGGTTCAATTTCATTACATTATTTATTTTCCAATTATTAATAAATGATTAAAAGATAATGTAAAATTGAAGATTAAAGTTTTAAAAAATTCATGGAACTTTTTAAACAATGATATTTTTATTATTATTTAAATAATAATTATAATAATAATTAAAAAAAAAACAATAAAATAATAAATGGATTGAATGGGTAATGGTGGGTGAATTAATTTAAATGTCAAATTTTTTATATTTCTTTATTGATTTTTAAAATACACAAAATTATTAATTGTTTATAAATAAAAACGATCGTACGTTTTCTTTCTAGCAAATGATATATTTTATTATTTTAAAGGAAAATACGAATAAGGAGAAGCAGAGATAATATTAATATTGATCAAATTCAATCTCTACATACTACTAATTAAATACTGACAAATATGGAGATCAAATTTTGTTACAAATTTTCTTGTGATCTAGATCAATGTATTAATAGAGCTTATATCTTTTGTAATTATTTACTTTGCCATGAACAGTATCCCGTTTACCTTGTATTCTATCGTAATGCAAGCATAAACGATGTGCTCTGCTTGTGTCATTTTTTCCAATGAAAGTTCTCGCCCATGGAGGTCTTCTCTTCAACTACTGAAGAAATTTAGAGCCTTTGTTATCACCAAGATGATCAATGGTAAGACAGTAAGACGGCAGTCGTATTGTATTTCTTACTTGATTTGATGTCTTTGTGTAATGAATAACGACCACTTTCTCTTCCTCAATCTCTTGATGGAATGATGATTGACTGTAATTTGTTTTCCGAATTTTAATGCGACACTCGAATTATTCTGATGGTTTTTAAAAAGCAATCAACATATGTGCATTTTCCAATCTAGATTCCTTTTCTACGAACGTTGTGTACCTGTGACATGTGAGATAATCTGTGGCTGTGTGCTACAATGTATATTCCGTTCGCTTTTCAGTGAGTTTTTATATATTTTCTATTTCTTGACATTTGCTATGTTTGTTTCCGAGATTTTAAAGAAAGTAAAAGTAAATGACTTTTCTTTTAAGAATATTCTATTGTTTATTATTAAATAATAATATACCGTACATGATAAACAATGTAATTCATAAACAATCCAGTCAAGGATTGATACTTTCTTATAATAAAAAAAAGAGTACAATATTTATTGTTGTTATTATATCCAATAATATAATTCGCTCGATGTAAGCTTAAACATTTTTTCTCTAATTCAATTCAATTGATATTTTCTTTCCCTCCCTCCCTACTTCTTCCTTTCTACAAACAACATTTTAACAAACGGAGCCTGGCATTCTGTTTGAACTTCATAAAATATTGGGGTTGGTTACAATGATTGATCATCAAAAATAATAATAAATTTCATATATGCGGATTTTTTAATGTTATTTTGAAAATTGAACTTTTATAAAAAATTTTTCTACTATAGTTTGCTCGTCTAAAGACCTCTTAAACTTTGTGAAAAGTTTAAAAGTATAGAAGTCATTTTCTGTTCTACATCTTAAAAAATAGCTTTATTAGTTGATAGAATAGGCCTTTAATTTTAATGTAATAAAGATTTAAATCATTATTGCATAGGTAATTTTAGACTGTAAATATTGTATGAATAGTTTTTATTTAGTTGATTTTTTACATGATGATTTTTTGAATCATAAATATCGTGCGAAATTTCATTAATCGTTTCATTACTATTACTAGTAATACTATTTCTTTTAAAAGGGAGGATTGTCATGGTTTAATAATTTCTTCATTATATGGAGATCTATTTTACTATTGATGGATCAAGACAAACTTCATTATATGCTTATATAGAGAGTTTATATTAAAATTCATTATACCAAGAGCAATTTGTATATAATGAAATTGGAATTTTTCTAACTTCATTATATAGTACAATTCACTATATAATAGGTTCACTATATCCAGAGCCAACTGTATTATAGATAATTTTAATATATATACAGCATGTAACAAAAAAATTGACCTCTGTTTATTTATAATAATTCAATAAATATTTATTTAAATTGAGCATACAATAGCTTGTTTAAAAGCCTAAAAACCAAGAAATTTATTGATATATATATTAATAATTGATTCATTTGCTGTTACTATCAATTATCATCTGGCAATGATTATTCATTGACGAAACAAGGTTAGACAACATAGAACTTGGAATTTTTTCCCATTCCTTGACCAAATACTGCCACAACTCACTAATGTTTGCTGGCATACACTTTTCTATATTATGTTTGACAATGCTCCATAGGTTTTCTATGGGATTAAGGTCTGGGCTGTTAGCTAGCCAATTGATGACTTCAGGGAAGTACTCATCAAGGAAATTTTTGGCAACCTGACTAGTGTGCTTTGGGTCATTGTCTTGTTGGAATCTCCACTGCCTACCAAGCATCCTTCTGATTTCTGGAAGGTGCTGGTGGAAAATTTCAACATAAAACTCTCCATTCATGATCTCAGTGAAGCAAAACAAGCTAGTCTTCCCTTTAACACAAAACCCGCCCCAGGCAAAGACTTTTTGTCAGTCTTTAGGAAGTGGCCGAATAGGCTTTGGACCCATATACCATCATTTTATTGTGTTCCTAAACAGATGGAAGGCTGTTTCATCAGAAAACAAGGTCCTTTCCCAACTATCATTTAGGTGATTCCTAGCCCATTTGACTCGCCTTGCCTTGTGATTAATCATGAGCATTGGGGTACCAGTTGGAAGTGCATTTTTGTAGCCAAGCTCTTTCAATCTTCTTGCTATAGCCATATGCGATACAGAATTTTTATTATTGGGTAATTTTATTGCCAGGGTTCGCAAAGATGTGGAACTGTCATTGGAAATGTATTGCTCAAGCTCATGCGTCATTGCTGATCCTATCTTTTTTAGACAGCCATTACCTCCCTTATGTGAAACATCCCCAATTTCTTTTATTTTTTTAATATTATATTTGACTGTTCATAGGTAAATGTTAGTTTTTGTGTGAAGTTCCTTTGGAGAATGTATTCCTTGGTTCCAATAATAAAGAAGCATTGAATGTTGCAAATTGAGCTTGTTTGATGACATTTTTTTATGTTATCAAAACTAAGATTGATGGTTCAAAAAGTTTGTTTATACAACACAGGGGTTTAGTATTATTGTTTGATTTAATTAGATGGGATTTAATTGCTTATTCGTGAAACTGTATGCTTTTGAATTTTGCATCATCAGAGGTCAATTTTTTTCATTACACTGTATATATATATATATAAGGTTACCCTAATTATAAAATAATAAATATTTTGAGT